AGCATATAGGGTATTTTGCATTAGGCATATTTTGTATTTTGCATTTTCTGCACCACTGGATTCTTGATTGAAGTTCTAACTCTACTGAAAAGTTGAGAGGTGTTGATTGTCTAAGAATGACTGCGTGTTCTTATGGTACCGAGGAACGTACTTATTTTCTGTATTTTTGGTTTTTGTCACAAAGAGCTGCCTTCTCATAAATGATCTAGAGCGATAGCTAGCACATGGTTCGTTTCCCAATGCGGGATCGACTGTGAAAAGAGTGTCTGGGACAGAAAATGTTGAGAAAGGGCGTAAGCTAGTGACACGCATTGCATATTACTATGTGGTGTTCTTACTTGGAGTAATAAGGTGGCCATCCTCATAAAAAAACGTAGTGCTGTTTTTATATAATAATAATAATAATAAAAAACGTAGGATCCTTGCTTAAAATCGTGGTGTAAAGTAGTGGGGTTGACTTTCACTATTGCAGTGATTGTTACTAAGTGAAACGCACTATGAATAATAAGGCATGTGTTCTTGCAAAAACTGAAGTTGAGGTTCGCACTACCTTGTGTATATACATATATCCGTTTATCGTATGTTCCTTGGGAAGTCTGAATATCAAAGTTGATCTTGGGTTATTTACATCAATTTTATCTAAGTTGAGAAGAAAAAGATTTTTTGAATCTAGTGTATTCTGTGGGCGATTTTCATTCCTTATCTTTATCTCTCATAATTTAGGCATAATTGCATATGATTTCCTTCTTGAACATGATCTATTTGAGTCTAAAATTTTGTGGAGAATATATGCTCAAATATGAAATCTGATTTCTTTCCTAAAATTCGAAATAATGTGAGAAGTTATTTGTGTGGGGAGTGTTATTGTGTTTGAATTTGATTTTTGGAGGGATAAGTTGCCGTTAATCATTGCCTAAACCGCCCAACCTGTCTTATCTCTCTCCCTTGAACCACGAAAACTGCCTTTTTGCAGTTTTCAATGTCAGAACTTTAACTCCTTCACGCCTCTCTTCACCTTTTAATTATCTCTCAAACTCCTTCCTTTTCTTTTCTCTCTCCATCTGATATTCCTATTAAACCCTAATTTCCCATTCTCAATCATCTTCTTCTTCCATGGCTGGAAGTAAGGACAAGTCGAAGAAAAGGCTCAAGAAACACAAAGAAAAAAGGTTGAAGCGCCTCCGTCTCTCTCTCACTATTAGTTCTGCACGTGAATCCACGCCTCCGGCGAAAACTCCATCCCCTGAATCGTCTCCTCCTACAAAGTCTGTTACTCTCTCCTCCACTCCGTCTGGTTCACCGTCTAAGTCAGACAACATCGACAAGAATCTTGAAATCTCTCTGCTGGCCACTGGAGTACCCGGGCTCTCTGGGTTTGTTGAGCCTCCTACAGTTCATGCTTAGGGGGAGTCGTCTGCTGTTCCGACTTCTGCAACCAAGTCTGTCACCGACGGAGAAAAGGATGATACCGCTGCTACCACTGTTGAGGTTCACTCATACCAACCCACTCCTCCTCCAAGGGCCCCGGTGCATCGTTCCACTCGCCGCAGAGGCAAGGACCCCATAGATGAAAATCTGGTGCCTCTGGAACCAGAGGATGACGCCTATGATCTGGAAAATGCCTTTACTAACCGGTTCTATACCGAGGCCTCTCATGTCAGGTTTGAGCGTTTTAAGTCTTATGGGTTTTGGAGTGAACATCCTCTTAAGGATGATAAATTTGTTGAACTTGGCGTTCTTCCTCTGATTGATTCTGTTGGGTTGTCTAAAACTGTTGTGGATCTTAGTTCTTTCTGTGACCAAGCTGTTTGTGAATTTTTTGCCAATCTTACCCCTGCTGTCTTTGAACCTGGTAGTCCTCGTTTTCATAAACTCTTTCTGCGTAACCGTATTACAGATTTTTCGCCTGCTTTGATCAATGCTCACCTGGGTATTCCCTCTGATAGTTCTCCCTTACCTGATGTTGATCTAGATGTTGTGACCCAAGTTCTCACTGCCAATCAGCTTGATATCTGGCCTGGGTCAAATCTTCCTGTTAACTCTTTGTGCCTTGTTGCTAATTTACTTCATAAGGTGGGTGCAGGGAATTGGACCCCCACATCCAATAAGACCTTGCTCACTGAATTGCAAAGCAAAGTTATCTATTGGGTTATGGTGGGTCAGCCTTTTAGTTTTGGGGAGGTTGTGTTTGAGATTCTTCAGCCATTCATTGTCAATATTGAGTCTCGTCGTTCCCTACCTTTTCCCTGTTTGATCTTGTCCTTTCTCACTGCTCAGAATTTCTCTTTGAATCCTCGGTACAATGACTCTCTTAAGCCTCCTGGTAAAGATCTGGTTGTGAGCAACCGTACCTTGCGTGAGAAATCTGCTCCAAAGCAGGACCTGACCCCTTTAGTGGTTCCCACCAAGTGGGAAGAATTTGTCATCCAGCAGTTTGGGTGAATGGGATGACCTGGCCAAGAAGGTTGCTGCTCAACAGTCATATATGCGTCAGGTTCTTCAAGCAGTAAAAGGGAAGCAGCGAAAGAACACGGGGACAGGCCCTTCGACATCCCGTAGTTCGAAAAAGAGGGAGAAAGCCTCAAGCAAGAAGAATGTTGCTGCTGATGATGATGAGGGCTCAGATTCTGGGGGAGATAGCACTGATGAAGCGATTGCAAATTATTATGCTGATGAGTAGAAGGCAGTCTTAGTATGAGTGATATAGTGAGGACTTTATGTAATAAAGAACCTCTTATTTGTCTGCTTTTGATGATGTGGTCGTATTGCTACTTTTTTTAGTATTTTGAATGTAGGTGTTTTGATGTTTTTGATGACTGCTTATTCTGCTTATTTTGATTGAATGGATAATTGTTAGATTCATATTGTTAAGTTGTGTAGGCTGCAGGTACTAAGGGGGAGAACTGCGAGTATAATATTTCTGTGTGAACTAACCCCTTAATGTGGTTTGGTTCTTGGTGCTTGTTGTTTTAATTTCAGGAGACCTTCATGTCTATTGTTTTCGAACTAGATGCCAAAGGGGGAGATTGAAAGATATTTTTATTTTGGCATTAGTTTGTTAGTTCGAACAAGCACCTGGAACCACAGAAAAAGGGAAGATCTTCAAATATTTTATTTCCTTAATTAAGTTTATTTTATATTCCATATATAAGATATTATGGGTCTTATTATGGTATTGTATTTTGTAGGAAATCGGATTTAAAAGAATTTAAGGGAGAAGAGGCGTGCTTGTAGAGGAGATCATAGAGAGAGAAAAGAGGAGATTTACTTGCCAAAGATATGCCATTCCCATGGAAGGAAATCAAACTAAAAGTCCTATGCCTTGTAGAAGACTCCAACCCTAAGGAGTTCATATAAATACCCTAGTGCAAGCTCTTATTGCGGCTGCTGAGTTTGGAGACATTTTAGAGCAATATTTGAGCTTCACATTTCTATCTTTCTATTCAGTTGTACACAGTTCAGTACGAGAGTTCTTACAAACTCAAGGACTGAAGCTGTTTTGTTTTGGATTTCTTTGTTTCTTCAAACTATCTTTTACTTTTACACTTAGGGAGTAAGTGTAGGATAAAAAGTCCACGGGACGTGGCCGGAGAAATAGTTGATAGGATCTGAGTAGTGTTGGCTAGGCTTGAAGGGAGTTCGAGTCTTTGCAAGTCCAAGCTATGTTCATATTTGATCTATCAATGAAAGAGCTATGAGGGGAAGTGGGATACTTCCCTGAAGAGTTTTTTAAATCTTCGGTTTTTTGCTTCTGCATTCATAAGTTCTTTATTTAGTTCGTACTACAAATAGCGTGATCCGTGATATTATACGTTCCACACATCCACCAGAGTAGATACGTAGACAAGGTAATTCTATCCTTGTTTGTTTCTGCACACACTGCATACTGCATAACTCTTTCCACCAATCCTAGAAGCACACAAATTCCTTATCCAGTGAATCCCAACTCATACAATCTAACTTCCAAATTTTCTTTGACCTATCACAGTGAAACAACAAATGTTCAAGATCCTCTTCCTTATGTCCACACCAGCAACACCACACCTCCCCCCCTATGGCTTCTGAAACAGTTTTGCCTTTGTACCAACCCAATTATTCCAGAATTTCCATAAGAAACTTCTGATGTTAGGCTTCAATGGTAACTCTTCCTCCTTCCTCTTCCTATAATATTCTACGATTTCGAGAAATAAAAAATTTAAATTAAAATCAATAAAAGCAAATCAAATTTGTATTTGGTTACACTCTAAAGCCACTTAAATAAGTTTGAAAATTGCTACAAGTACATAATAAAATACATAGAGGTGTATAACACTAACATGAATTTGGTCTCCTTGATTTTTTATTTTTAGTTGGTCCATCTGTGAGTGTTATAAATATTTGTAAATATAAGTGTACATAACACTATGGGTATATTTGGTAAGTCAAATAAGCTAGCTTATAGCTTATTCGGTTAGCTTATAAGCTCCCTATATTAAAATAAGCCTCGTTTGGTAGGACGAGCTTTTTTAAAAAGCTCGAGCTTATCCCATAAGCTACTTTAGGTAGCTATTCAAATAAGCTAGTTGAATTTTTATATTTCAGCTAGCTTATCAGCTAATTTACCAAACACTTTTATCATATAAGCTAGTTTTTCAGCTATAAGTCATAAATTATAAGCTATAAGTTCAAAAATTGCATATAAGCTATTAGCTAACTTATCAACTATCAGCTAGCTTATCAGCTAGTTTTACCAAACATAGCCTAGATAGAATGAGATCCACTTAATTTTTTATTTTTTGTTGGTCTTCCGTGAGTGTTATGTACAACTTAGCATTTTTCAAAAAAAATTAGCGTGTAAATTTTACACGTGTCGTTCCACAAAACCGCAACCCATTAGAAATGCACACAATTCTCTCACCACTCCCACACAAACCTTCCCCGTCCAACTCGGCCCGATTCCGACCCGCCAATCAACCCCAATCGACTGCTCCATTCGCTGCTCATCATCGACACCGCCAACAATGGACCCTCAAAACCCGCCCAAAAGGGTGGTCGTCTGCGGCGGCGGCGTTATCGGCGTGTGCACCGCCTACTTCTTATCCAAAAGGGGCGCGGCCGTCACGCTCGTCGAGAAATCGTCGATCGCCTGCGCGGCCTCCGGAAAGGCCGGCGGCTTTCTCGCCCTAGATTGGTGCGACGGCGGACCCGTTGGATCTCTCGCTCGGGCCAGTTTCAATCTCCACCGCTCGATTGCCCAGGAGCTCAACGGCGCGGAATCGTACGGCTACCGGACCCTCACAACCCTCAGCCTCTCGATAACGGAAACGACGCCGTCCTCGTCCGCTCAATTGGGTAAAAAATCGGGCCGTCCCGGTATTCCCTCTTGGGTCGATGGGCCGGCGAAAGGCCCGAGGACCATCGGGACGACAGAGACGACGGCCCAAGTGCACCCTCAGCTGTTCACGAAGACGCTGCTGGCGAAGGCCGTGGAGGAGTACGGGCTGAAGGTGGTGATCGGAAAAGTGGAGAAGGTGGCGGTGGAGGAAGGGAAGGCGAAGGCCGTGGCTCTGGAGGGCGGTGGAGAGATTGAGACTGATGCGGTAGTGTTGGCTCTTGGGCCTTGGACGGGGAAGTTCTCACTTTTGGGCTCGTTGTTTAGGGTTTATGGGCTTAAGGCCCATAGCATTGTCTTGGAGCCTGGAGATCCTGGTGCAATAACACCTCACGCGTTGTTTTTGAGTTATTATCCGGCCCAAGGTGGGAAGCCCATGGACCCAGAGGTGTATCCTCGTCCAACAGGTAGTCTACTCCCCCATTCATCTCATAGTAGTAGAAGTTATGAAATGATGCAGTGTTTGGTAAGCACTAATGTGTTATTTAGATAGCTTTGTGTATTCAAATAAGTTTCGATTGATAGGATGAAATTCGGTAAGATGACATTAGTTAAGAAAAACTCGATTTAATCTCAATTGTTAATTTTACTAAATACTTTTATTGTATCAGCTAGATTTTCAGTCATGAGTCACGATATGAGCTATCAACTATCTTTTTTGCTAGATATACCGAACATCCCCACTCTGTATAGTATTTAAAGTTAGTTTGCATCAAGTGATAGTTCAAGTTAGTTTGTTTATTCATTCTTTTGATAGACCATGTCACACGCCTAATGTGGGTAATCATTACCTGAAAGCTTGCTTCTTTGTAAAGATTCAACTGTGAACTTTGATCGTTTCACCATTCTTTTAGGCTAACTGTTATGAAACATAAATTTTAAACAGGAGAGGTGTACATATGTGGGATGTCGGTCGAGGCAGATGTACCGGATGATCCCGAGCAGGTAACCCCCGTGCACGAATCTATACAGGTTTTGAAAACAGTGGCAAGAAATGTGTCGACTCAGTTGGGCGAGGGGGAGGCTAGGGTGAAAGCCGAGCAGGCGTGCTTCTTGCCTTGCACGGATGATAGTTTACCGGTCATTGGACAAGTTCCAGGTATCGAGGGATGTTACGTGGCCACGGGACACAGCTGTTGGGGAATACTAAATGGGCCTGCCACAGGCGCGGCTGTGTCTGAGCTTGTGATGGACGGGTGTTCGAGTATTGTTGATCTTAGCGGGTTTAGTCCCACCAGGTTTGTTCTTTCTTGAAAGTAGTGTAAATAAATGAGATGTTATATTATTTCTTGTATCACGTTGAGTTTGTGATGCACTTGTGTGATGGAACTTTGGGAGTTTTTTGAAAGTATTGTTATAAAGTGTATGATGTGAATGTCATCACTACTAGTTCTTGTTCTTGAATTAAATAAACACACATATATATTTATATAGAGAGAATAGATGATACGAGAATGTTAGATAGTGAAAGAAGTAAGAATAAAACTTTACAGTTGGATCCACCATATCAATGGTCAAGATCAAGTCAAACTTATTAAGTAGCAGTCAGATATGTTATGGTATTTTTCGTAATTTGACCACTAATTAAAGGTAAGTTGGATATTTTATTCAAACACACCATCCTGTGGGACTTACCACTACACACATTAATACTAACCAGCACCGAACTCTCGCCACCTATCCATCTCTCACTCTCTTTCACATACACACACAAGCACTTGCCCCCTCTCCCCCCACCACAAACACACACACAATCGGCCAGTTGGCACAACAGCCGCACGAGAGGTGAGGCCACCAACTTGTCTTCGCAGCTTCACTAGTCGCTACCAGAGACGGCCGCCATTCGCCACAAGCACGATGGTCCAATTCCACCATAGACAGCCGCCGCAGCTCCACTAGTCGCCACCAGAGATGGTCGTCGTCCGCCACTAGCACGATAGTCCATTTTCACCATGAACGGTCGCCGCAGCTCCACCGGTCGCCACCAGAGACGGTCATCGTCCGCCACAAGCACGATGGTCCAGTTCCACCATAGGAAGCGCCGGTCAGCCTTCGTCCACGCTTCACGCCGGTCAGTCACGTTTCTCCTTCGACGCACACTGTCGTGGCTCCTGTGATGGTCGTCAGCTTCCCGCCTGTGAAGCTCCAAGAAAGCATCAGCTGTCAGTCGGTTCGGGGCCGTGAAGTTCTCCATAGATCCATCGAACGCCGTCGGAATGGTCGCGGGAGACTCGAGGACCTCTGTCGAAGAACCGACAAAGAACGAGTTGCCAGACGCAAGTGGTAAGAAATGAGAATGAATTGGAAAAGAATTGGGGTTTGTGTTTGAAAATTGGACAAGACATAGGGATTGCAATTTTTAAAATTTGATATACTAAAATTCAGTTCATGGTCAAATTTATAAATGATCAAAAGATAATTAGAATTTAATATTTGATTTAATATTTAATAATTTTTTTTGGTTGAAAATAAATAATATTTTTTCACATGAAATATAAAAGTAATAATATTATTTTTATATAGTTTGGTTGTTCGGTTATTTCAGGCTTAAAAAATAAAGTCGACATTGAATCAAAACAACCGTATTTGAAAAGTAAAAAAAAAAAGATAATATAATTGACATTTATAATTTCGAACTAAAAGTTTTAGTTGGGCCGATTTCATTCGATATTGTGCATTCTGATTGTCATTAATGTGCAATTCAACTAACAATTGTGCATTCACAACGCGAACTATTTTATGATTTGTCACAAAACAAACTAAAACCGAACCAAAATATTTAGTTTATTTGATTCGTTAACCAATTACTTCAGTTAATCGGAATAACTGAAATAATTTATTATTTATACTATAAAAATATATTTAGTGTTTTAAAATTTATATTTAATATTTTATATTAGTTATGTTGGAAAGGACTAAAATATATGTACAACAAATAATATTTTATATATGATTCGGTCATTTTGGTTATTTCAAAATCAAAGCCGACATCAAATCGAAATAACCAAAATTTTAAAAATAATAAAAAATAATCAAATCGATATTTAAAATTCGACCAACAAATTTATTTCGGTCGATATGGTGCAATATGACAATCACTAATGTGCAATCTGTTTGGTCTGCACTCGAAGTAAAACTATCTTTTTATAATAATATTTTGCGTATTTGTAATTTATACTTTTATATTAATATTTTTTTGAAAGTAAGTAGTATATATGTTTGATTATTTCGGTTATTTCATATAATAGAGTCAACATCGAACCAAAATAATCAATTTTTTTAAAAATAATAACATATAATCTAACCGAATATATAATCATGAACTGAATTTAGTTTAGTCGATTTCAGTCACTATTGTGTAGTCTGGCAGTCATTAGTTTAGTCGATTTTGGTCACTATTGTGCAGTTTGGCAGTCATTAATGTGCAATTTGTCTAACACTTATGTGCACTCGCTTCGCGAACATTTTTAATAATTTGTCCCAAACCAAACTAAAAACAAATAAGAAAATTAGTTTAGATGATTGGTTAGTCGAATTAACCTAAATAATCAGAATAATTTATTACTTATACTATAAAAATATATTTAATATTTAATACTCCCTCCTATATTTTTTACAGTAATGCTATGGAGCCAATGGTTGGCTCCCTTATGGAGCCAACCACCAATCAAACATGTCCACATGGGGATGTCCCACATTTACTTTAATGTGGGACATCCCCATGTGGACATGTTTGATTGGTGGTTGGCTCCATAAGGGAGCCAACCATTGGCTCCATAGCATTATTGATATTTTTTATTTGTCATTCTAGCAACTAGCACTCTAATTAAGAATTTTTGTTGTTGTCAATATTACCCCTATTTAATGAAAACTACTACTCCATTAAGTAATACAATTAATGATGATTAGTGTAAAAAATAAATGAAGATTTGTGGAAAATCAAGAGAGAGATAGAATATGAAGAGACATTGGAAATTAGGTGGAAGGGTTAAAATTGGAAAAATATGAACAAAATAGCCAAAATGACATTTATTTATCCAATAGTCAATTAAGCTAGAATGACAAATAAAAAAGATAGGAGGGAGTATTATATATTATTTTTTGTTTAAAAAGATATCACATATAGTCTGAGAGTCACTAATGTGCATCTTGTTTAATATTATTGTGCATTCTGAAGTGCGGGTTATTTTATTTGCACATTCAAACTAAAAAAAAAATAATCAATTTCATCGGTTGGTTAATCGAATTAATCTAAATAATCAAAATAATTTATTATTTATATTATGTTATTATTTTTATTTAATATTTTATATTCTTTTGGTTCAAAATACATAATGTATATATATGTATAATATATATAAAAGTTAATACTTTTTTACATAGTTTCTATAAATTTCATATTTGGTCTGGGGACTAAATTGAATTATATTAGAATTTTTAAATTTACAATCAATTCCCTAAGGCTTATTAAATTTTCAGAGAAGGTCCCTAGATAAAAAAACCAATTCTTCTATCGGGGCTTTCTTCTTCACTGCACAATCTTCATTCCCTCCTCCCTTCGGCGCCGGCCCGACGGACGACCACCTCCTCTCAATTGAAACCAAAAAATAAAAAGAGAATAGAATGAGTCTGGCCCAAATCTCCGTCGTCGACGAGCTAGCCATGGTCGGACGCCAGCTCCCTTACCAACGCAGTCATTTTCACCTCATCTTCGGCCAGCCATGGTTTTCACCATCTTCTTCACCCAAGATATCGGAGAGCTCATTTCGAGGGAAAAAACTGGTGACATTGCCGGCGGTGGCGGCAACCGGACCGACTGTGGCGATGGACGGGCCAGCGGTGGTGGTTGGCGGCGGCACCACCAGTGTGTGTAGTTGTGTGCATGTGTTCTGATTTGTGTGTGTAATGTGTGTGTTGTGTGTGTGCATGTGATTTGTGTAAGTGTGTGAGAGATAGAAAGGATGAGTGTGAATGTGTGATGAGATAGTGGCCATATAATGGCAAGGTAGTATCGGGTGTGTGTAAGTGGGTATTGGTGTGGGCCCATATGTGTATAAAGAAAATATCAAAAATACCCTTAGTGACTGTGAAAATTAAAATATTCTGAGGATTAACATTAAATCGACAACTCTGATTTAAATCTTGGAACGAACCTTCACCAGTCTCTAGAACTGTGCATTAAAAAGGAAAGTTTGATTATCCTATTTTATTTTTTTTAAATCTATTTATCTTGGACTTATTATTTTATTTATCATATTAACAGGAATGGAATTTGACATTCATTGGAGCAGTCGCGCGTGATTAAGAGGAAGTGTCCTACTTACCATCAGGGCCGGCCCTGGGGTAGGGCGGGCCGGGCGACCGCCCAGGCCCCCCTCTTACCCGGGGCCCACTTTTATATATTTTTTAATATATTTATATATATAGTAATTATATAAATACAATATTGAATAAAAATTTGATTTTAAATATTTTTTTTTTTTATTTCCTAACAAGGCTTTTTATATTTTATCCACCTTTTAATTTTCATAACAAAATTAAATATTAGTTATTATTAGTGAAATTATTATTTGTTTTGCATATTTTCTTTTATTCTTTCAATACTTTGCTAATTTTTTCTTCTTGCTTGAATATACAAAATATTATTTTATGATTGGATAATTCAATTATGTTAGTAATAGCCAATAAAAGGGTTAAGTGAATTCAACTCAGTTCAGACGAGTTTCTAGTTTCGATTTTTTATTTAACTTTGTTTAATATAAATTAAAACTTAATACTTTCAAATAAAAAAAACGTATATAAGTTATAACTATAACTGAGTATTATGTACTTCTTCAAACTTTCATTTGTCACATATTTAAAGTAAATGAAAGTTTGGAGTTTTAACTGCCTTTTTTTTTTCTTTGAATAAAAAGGATTTTCGCTTTATTCATTTGCGATTCTTAATAAATTTATCAAATATTATTTATAAAATTTAGCTATATTTTATTTTTAAGTTTCTTTGCTTTTATTATTTCGAGTTACATTTATTTTATTATTTTAAAAAAAAAAAAACAACCAAGGGCAATACTTATAACATTTCGCTCAGGGCCTTATAAAGTTCAGAACCGGCTCTGCTTACCATGCATAGGAATCGAGCGTATTGAATAACTTCTTTATTTATGGTAGAAGAATATGGCGAGTCCAACGTACCATCTAGAAGATAACTTGCGAGGGAGAAAAAGATATCTGGAGGAGTAAGAACGCGACAATTGTGGAGATTGACGAAATCAAGAGGTATAAAGGTTTCCAAAGTTAACTTGAGACATAGATACTTGGAAGAAAAGTTTTAAATCTTTTGGGTGAAGTGTCGAGAGGAGAGAACATAGAGAGAACAACTCAAGGGGTTGATTTTATATTCTTTGCTTTAACTTTATTTTTATGAAAGTAAAGCCGAGAGCCTGTTCTCGATCTCAGTGAACTTGAAATCTTATTCATCACAAATTATTTGTACAAGTGTTCGGGAGGAACACTTAGAACGAACTCAAAGGATTTGAGTTGTTAAAATCCACATGACATTTGTGGTCGGGAAAGTAGTGTAGTGAGTGATTACAAGATAGGTAGTGAAGATGGAGTCTTCATTGTAAATTTGATTTGTAATGGGTCAAACATTCACGTATATGAAAAAGTTTCGGACTGGGAGCAAGATGCTCTTCTGAAGGTTCAGATTTTGTTGAACCCTGATTCCGCAATTGTGTTAAACTTACATCAAAATTTATTGTTATCTACTTAGCGCAATTTTGATATATCCTCCACAATTTAAAAGATATATGCATTTTTTTTTTATCGTTGGATCATTTGATCTAATGGCTACCGTGTATTCTTATTTCTTTCATCAAGCACTATTCTCATTGGAGTCTGACTATATATATATATATATATATATATATATATATATGTGTGTGTGTGTGTGTGTGTGTGTGTGTGTGTGTGTGTGTGGTCAATATGTTTTTACCATTTGCATTAAATTTGATGGAAAATCATGTTACTTATTTGGTTGATGGAAATTCATGTTACTTATTTCGGAGGTTTACATCTTTATCGTGTGTGTTGCTAAGGGGGCGAATGGATATCAACTAGTTGGCAATTTAACTGATTTTTCACTAATAAAGTAGAGAAACTCAACTAGTTTTTTACTTGATCTGATTTTGCCCTGGCCCACCAAAATGCCAGATTTGCACTGCTCTGACAGCAATTTTGTAGGCCATTCACATGCATTGGGCTTTCAATTAAAAAAATAATAATAAAAGAAAATAAAACTGACAGCTTTTGGGCCAGAAAAAGAAAAAAGTGCATGGATTTTTCGTTGGGATGAATATTGCAGGCTGGTTTGGTGTCTTGGGCCGTCAAAAAAGAATCTGAGTATAATGAGTGTGCAGAGAAAAAAGGCAAATTGTGGGCCCATGACAAAACCAACAATTGATATCCCAATCATAAACTCAACAGTAAAAATCAGTGAAAAACCAATTTTTAACTCAACCAATTGATATCCAATCGCCCCCTAAATAATTGCAAATTTACACATTTGCAAACATATTTGCACATATACGATACTAACCTTATTTAATTAGGTAAATACTAGATACTATATAGTTGATTAAAAATGATAGGTTTATTTGACTTTCCATAACTGACGAGCACTTAATTAAGAAATTGTGTATAGATAAATGTTATGTAAATAATTTATCTTACTCTCTCATTGAGATCCCATCTACATTCATCACCTGGTTGAGATTAATAATAACAGCTGAGAAACAATTCTGCCTCTCCTAGCTGCTATTATCACAAGTCACAACAGCAACCCAGAATTCATGTGCACCACAGAAGATGTCAGGCACTGACAATAACAAGATTGTCCTACCATTACTCCTTCCAAAAATCTAACAATCCTCCTTCAAAACAATTGTTTGATCATCTGAGAACTTCTACCATTCTTTTAATGCTCTTCTCCAGACTTTTTTTCTTGACCCGAGCTTTTTTAAAGATCCAGCAATTTGGGTTTTCCACAAGCACCATATGATATATGTTGTAAGTTCTATTTTGTCCTTCCGACAGCTGTCAGCTTTGATCAAGAAAATCTCTCCACACCACAACTAAAAGGAGTGTTCCATTGTTTTTAGGCCTTCCCACTACAGTCCTGCCATCTTCCATACACACTGAGCTCTTCTGCAAGTGAAGAAGATGTGCTCAAGATCTTCTTCCACATCCTCAGACAAGCTACATATCATGTCTCCTTGAACTTCTCTTTTTTATGAGTTGATCTTTCGTAGCCAAAAACCTGTGGCAGCACCTCCAAAGGAACATCTTTACTTTATAACATTCAAGCACCAAGTTTTCCTCCAGACTTTTTTCAGCAACTTTAAGTTATTACTAGAACCAAGTTTTCCAGTATTATTTTATAATTTCTCTTCTAACAGCTTGTAAGCAGACTTGACTGAAAACTTTCCATTGGAGTTAGGATGTCATACAACTCTATCTTTAAGCCCTTTTATGAGGTTTAGGTAATTGTAGGATTTTTCTAGCATCAGCAGGATAAAATGTTTGTTCAATTAGATCTCTATCCCAATCCCCATCCTTGCTCTTTTGCAACTCACTCACAGTTCTAAGGGTCCTTCTATCTCTCTCAAACAAACACAAGAGTTTAAAAGAAAGATTTTTGGGTTGCCAAGGGGACTCTCAAATGGAAATACTACACCCATCTCCCACTGTGTACCTAAGCCCAAGTTGTAAAACATGCCTAACAATCAATCAAGACTTCCACAACCAATAATCTGAGCTTCTAGGACTGACCTCCATCAGATTTTAGTCGTAAAAGTACTTATCCTTAAGTACCTTACTAGGCAAAAGGTTTGGCTTCGTAATAATTCTCCACAATTGTTTCACCATGAGAGCCTCATTAAACAAGTCTAGATTTTTGAAACACATCCCTCCACACTCTTTGGATTTAGTAAGTTTATCCCAACTCCCCCAATGAATTTTCTTTTTCCCTTCCTCTTTTTTCCCCTACCAAAAATCTGCAATAACCCTACAAATATCCTGACACACCCCCAAATGAATTTTGAAACAAGACATAACATAATTTGGTAATGCATTCAACACAGTCTTAATCGAAATATCCCTTCCAGCCTCACTTAAAAAGTCATTTTTCCAGTTTGTGACTCTAGAGATGACTTTTTCAGAAACAAGCTTGAAAGTCTCTAACTTCGACCTACCTATACGTAAGGGGAGACCTAAATAATTGGAAGAATTAACAACCACAATTCCTTAAAAAAAAACTACAAATCACTCCCTTAATCTCATCCAGTGCATTCTTAGAAAACATAATAGAGGATTTATTAGGATTAATAAGCTGACCAGATGCTTGACCAAATTATGTAACATAAAGGAAAGGGATCTAGCATTAGAAACAGAGGCTTTACAAAAGAAGATAAAATCATCTGCAAAAAAAATAGATGAGTTAATTAAGGCAGGAGAGAATTCACCTATTTTAATACCTTGGAAAGAATTATTAGCACAAGCTTGATGAATAAGGTTAGAGAGGACTTCCGACAACATAATGAAGAGGTAGGGTGACTGAGGGTCACCCTGCCTAAAACCCCTTGAGGGCTTAACAAAACCTACAGGTTGACCATTAATATTAAGGGAAAATGAGGAAGAATTCAGGCAAGCGATAATCCAGGTAACAAATATATTACTGAAGCCCAATTTCAAGAGAATTTTTGCAAGGAAGCTCTACTCCCCCACTCGGTCATAGGCCTTAGCCATATCAATTTTGATGGGTTAAGTTAAGGATGACGTGGTCGAACATGGAGCCTCAATAGAATAAACTCACCTTTATCAATAATTTCTTAAAAAAATTATTCGATCATTTTAATTTTTATTATAATAATTCATATATCACAAATCTCACTCCATATGTCACTCTCTGTTTTCTCCCTCCCTAAAATTTCTCCCATAAAATCTATTTACAGTGAAACAGAGATGTGGAGTCGTTGCAGTTGACATGAACTCCCCAACTCTCGTTCATCTCTCCCTCTGGCCGCTTCGGGCCGCGGCATTAATCATCCTTTGTCGGGCCGAATCTTTCGGGCTCAACGCAGACAGAATCCTATTACTCACCTTCAAATACAGCATCCTAAAGGACCCATTCCAAGTCCTTGAAAGTTGGAAAAACTACGACCAGACACCGTGCTCGTGGAACGGCGTCACCTGTGGCACCGTGTGCTTGGCCGATGCTACTTTCCGGGTCACGGGCCTTTCTCTCCCGGACTCCGGGCTTTCGGGCTCTATCCCGGCCACGCTGGGCTTGATCGAGCACCTCACGAACCTTAACCTGTCGAACAATTTAATCAACGGCTCCTTACCTGCCACCATATTCCATGCAGCCGAGCTTCAGACTCTCGATATCTCGAACAATTTGATCTCCGGCGAGCTGCCGGAGCTCGTGGGCAGACTGAAAAGCCTCCGGCTGCTAAATCTTTCTTACAACGGTCTGTACGGCCGCCTGCCTCAGAGTCTTTCCGTCCTCCACAATCTGACTGCTGTTTCGTTGAAGAATAATTACTTCACGGGCCCAATTCCGAGCGGGTTCGATTCGGTTCGGTTTCTGGACCTGTCCTCGAATTTGATCAACGGGTCGCTACCGGCGGATTTCGGCGGCGGGAATCTGTCGTACCTGAACGTCTCGTTCAACAGGTTATCCGGCGAGATTCCGCTGGATTTCAGTAGGAGAATCCCGGGAAACGCAACGTTGGATCTTTCGTTCAATAACCTCACGGGGCCGTTGAAGGCCCTCTCCCCGGCCCTGGCTCCGGTCACATCCTCTTCCGCCGCTGCCACTCTGCCGAGCTCTGCCGTGCGACAGTCTCCTCCGGCCATTCCGAAAACCTTTGGCTCCACAGGTGGCGCCGCTGGAAATCGAAGAGTATTCAGAAGGGTCGGGTTGAGGCTCGGGACAGTTATCGGAATCGTAGCCGGCGTTGGGATCCTAGCGTTAGTATTTCTCTACGTCTATTGGCTGAAAAGGTGGAGAAAAACTGGCGCCGCCATAAAAAAGAAGGCAGAAAGGCGCGGGAGACTTCGACTGGGCGTCCTTGTCCAGGTCATCCTCCGATCATGAGGGGCACGCGCACGGCCCGGAACAGAAAAGCAGGACACTTGTGACGGTTGATGCGGAAAAGGAGTTGGAGCTGGAGACGTTGCTCAAGGCTTCAGCGTACATTTTGGGCGCGTCGGGCTCCAGTATCATGTACAAAGCGGTGCTTGAAGATGGCACCACACTGGCGGTGAGGCGCGTGGGTCAGAATGGGTTGGAGAGGTTCGGGGATTTTCATAATCAGGTTCGGGTTATTGCCAAGTTGGTGCACCCGAACTTGGTTCGGATCCGGGGATTTTACTGGGGCACTGATGAAAAGCTCATTATCTATGATTTTGTTTCTAATGGCAGCCTTGCCAACGCGCGTTACAGTAAGTTTTCTGACCAAAATGCTCTTTCTTTTCCTTTTTTTTTCCTTGGAAAATAATTAGTATTGTATGGTTGGGTCATGTTTGGTTAAATATTTTCTAATTAGATTGCAAGTTTGTGTAACAAATACATCACACAGTCACATTTGGTGAATGGGTAAAATTGGAAAGCAATTTTGTTCCCCAAAGATTAGAGGCATAAACAAATTTCAACTCTAGAACGTTACATATAGTAATCTTTATTTTTCGAGCCTAAGTTCGTTAACTAAACAAAATTGAAATTAGCTCAAGTTTAGTTCGGCTCGAATATCAAATGAGCTGAATTGAAGTTGAACCTTAACAAGTCTAGTTAAGTCACGAGTGACTCATTTCGTTCAACAACTCTACCCATTATATGCTACGCGCCATGAAAACTGAATTAAGGATTTCACAATTATAGAGAGTTGGGACAATTTTGTTGTTGACATCACCATAATTACTAACGTGCGCCGAGAGGGATGGCCCCAGATTTGCTAACGTACTGCTCTTTTTATTCGCACAGCCAACAACTTTACAAGTCAATTCCGCCCGGCATCACATATTCGTCGTATCTTATATCCTAAATTTACTAACTACAAATTTAAATCATTCAGGAAAAGCCGGCTCCTCACCCTGCCACGTGTCCTGGGAAACCCGGCTCAAGATAGCCCGGGGCGTGGCTCGCGGGCTTTCCTACATCCACGAGAAGAAACACGTGCACGGCAACCTGAAGCCCAACAACATACTGCTCGGCCCGGACATGGAGCCCAAGATCAGCGACTTCGGGCTCCAGCGCCTTGTCTCATGCGACTACAACACCTCCCGGCCCGACGCCTGCTCGACCCACAAATTCGACAGCAAGCGTTCCACACCGGGCCCAAGCGTGGTGGGCCCCTCCCCCTACCGCGCCCCAGAGTCCCTCGGCAGCCAAAAGCCCAGCCCCAAGTGGGACGTGTTCTCATTTGGGGTCATCCTGCTCGAGCTCCTCACCGGGAAAGTCCCGGGGTCGTTAGACGAGACAGCCGGGGCCCTGTCGGCTTCGTCGGATGAGGAGAGACGGAGAGTGGTGAGGATGGCTAATGTGGCGATCCGGTGGAATGTGGAGGGGAATGAGGAGGCCTTTATGGGGCTGTTGAGATTGGGGTATGCGTGTGTATCGCCCGTGCCGCAAAAGAGGCCGGCAATGAGGGAGGTCCTACATGCGCTCGAGAGGTTCCCGTCCTGTTTGTTTTCGACGCCGTCCGGGCTGTGATGGAGGTGTATATAAAGTTAATTTGTTCTTTTTTTTTTCAGATGATTTTTCTTTTGATTGTAAGGCGATGATTGAAAATATGTTTTGGTAGATACATAACAACATCGGATAATGTTTGTCTATAACTCTTATTAGTAGTCATCGCAAAGAATGCCATAATCGGGAATTGTTGTCTAAATAAATAGCTTGAAAAAAAAAAAAAAACTTGTAATAGAATTCATGATAAGTAAGTAACTTTCTTTTATTGATAATTAGTTTGTATTAGTAGTATTATTATATAATATAATAGTTAAGAACATACTAATACACTTAAATTGAGATACAATTTAACAATTACTTTTTTAATTAACTAAAAAAATGAGTGAGAATTTTTTATTTGCATTAATGGGATATTCGACTTATATATGAGTATAAATTTTATAATATGTACTATAATTTATTCGTTTGTTATATCTTTACAAATTTTCTTTTATTTTTAGTTATTAATAATTTGTTATTAGTTTTATTTCATAAACTAGTACAACACCCGTGTATTACAGGGGCTTGTTAAAAAATTATTCTTAAATTTTAAAATTAGTGAGAAAATTATATTAAATTTAGTTTACTTTTTTACAAAAAAATATATTACTATATATTTTAGATGATATGTTTACTTATGACTTATATGTGTTATATTATATTAGTTTTTATAACTTACTAGTACAACACCCGTGTATTACACGGGTGTTTGCTATATTTTTTTTAAGGAAAATGCTATTTGTACCGCAGGGGTTGTACCGCATGGTGTACCCTTCATTGAAAACGTATTCTGAGAATACGTTTTTTAACCAAAGTGTAACCCATGCGGTACAAGCTGCGGTACGTGTAGCATTGTCCTTTTTTTAAATCTAAAATTAATGAGAAAAAGTAATTTGAAAATTTAAATACCTTTTATAAGAATATATATATTATTATATAATTATTATGACACTTTTTATTTGTGCGACTTGCCCGTGTTATATTATATTAATTTTTTTAACTTACAATATATAACTACATTAAATATAAATATATCAATTAAGAAATAATTTTATTTTTCTAATGAATTTTAATAAATATTATTATTTTTTGTTATTATAAAGATAAATATAATTTATTTATTTAATATATACAATATGGA